TCTTTCTATTAACTTCTTCTTATTTTTAAAGAAGCTTATTTTCTTATTCTTATTTATTATTACTTTCTAGCTCCTAAGCTTCTTCTAAATATAAATTACTTAGTTCCTCTTATTATTAATCTTATTTAGCAGAATAATAATAATAATAAGACTTAATATCTATAGTATAAGGCTAAAACTTAGCTTTATATATTACTATTAATAATTTATTACTATATTTATAAGATTTTAGCTTAACCTCTTCTCTTAGCTATAAGTTATTAAATTTAACTAAGGGGAGCTCTCTCTTATCTTCCTTAAATACTATATCTCTTACTTACTAAATACTATTAGTTTTTTTAATAAGAATATAAAAGATATTACTATAGAGGTTATTATATCCTATAAATCTTCTAAATTTAGCTTTAAGCTTTATCTTCTACCCTTTTATATATAGATAGCTATCTAAATAAATATAGATATAAGCTTAGTAGTCCTAGTAGTAGAAGTAGTATATATATAGTTTTCTTATAGTAAGAGATATATTAAAAGTATTTATTAGTTTCTTATAAAGATTAATATTACTCTTATTATTAGATAGTAGATTTCTAACTTCTATAGAAGTCTTTATTAATTAAAGCTAAAAAGACTTAAGAAAGCTAGTTTCTATATATATTACTTATACTTTTTACTATATAGCTTTTTTAGAACTTTCTACCCCTTTATTTTACTAATAAAAGTAAAGTATTATTATTTCTAGATAGAAACCCTATTCTTAAGTAAAAAGTTTTATTATTTTAAGAAAAGCTATATTATTATCTATAATAACCTTAGAGAAGTAAATAATATTATTTATTACTATAATCTTTTTTAAGAACTAACTTTATAGCTAAATAGCTACTTCTTTCTTTAATTTAAATACCTAAAACTATTTATAAGTTAAAAAAGCTTCTATAATATAAAGGCTATAAGTAATACCTCTAAAGCCTTATAGTATTAATTCTAAAAAGTTAATCTAAAGCTTTTAGAAAGCTTAAGTTAGTAGTTCTTATTATTTATTACTAAGTTACTATATTAACTTTACTATAAAGCAGATATAATACTTATATCCTATAAGAAGTACTCTAAAGAGGTTTATATTAATATCTTTTATAATAATAATAATTACTTCTCTAAATAGATACCTTAGATAAATATAAAAAGTTTAATAATCTAGCTTAAGAGAGCTAAATTTATTACTCTAGTTAAAGGAATAAATCTAAAACTAAAGGACTTATATATCTTATTTAAAGTTAGTAATAGCTTTAGATATATTTTTATAAACTAAAATATTATTTAAACTATTAAAATAGATACCTATCTTCTAAAAAAGACTAATACTAATAATTTATACTATATTATAAGATTTATAAAAAGTATTATATAGTTAAAAAGTAGTTTTTTTACTACTTAGCTTAATAGTAATCACTTTAGCTATACTAATAGCTTAGCTAATTTAGTCCTTTCTATTTATATAATTTATAGTTAATCCTTAAGGGAGATCTTAAAAATCCTTAAAAATAAAGAGATTATTAAGGATATACCTATTAGCACTAATATTTAGTATAAAGGAGTCTATTTTCCTAATAGAGGCTATAGATATAATATATTAGTATAGTTATACTTCCTAGCTATTATTTTCTTCTTTATTAGCTTCCTTAATAACACTATATATAAAGAGATTAGTAATCTCTATTTCTATAATCTAGCTAGTAGAACTATAGATAGAGTATTTAGGTATCTTTATTAGTTACTTCTTAACTTTCTATATATAGTTAACTTTATATAAATCTCTAGTAAGAGATTAAAGGTTAAAATATAAACTAAATACTCTAAAGTTATCTACTAAGAATAATAAAAAAATCCTCTTTTAAGCTTAAGCTAATAAAATATCTATAAAAGCCTTAAATAGTTAGTTAATATCTTATTTAATACTAAAGTTTCTAAAAATACTATCTTAAGTTTAGCCTTTTAAGGTAAATACTAAAATAGATACCTATATTATTAATTATTAAGTTATTAGTAGTTTATTTAAATATTTAAACTTATTATATATTAAGATATAATATCTAAAGTATTTAAGGAAATACTTATTATACTTCTTAAAGTATTAAGTTATCTTTCTATAATAGAAGTTATATATCTTATACTTATAGAGGTTCTTAGGATACTTAGTATTATAAGAAGTATAAAGGTCCTATAGTTTATTAGGTTTAATTACTTAAGGTTATTTCTTAGAAAGAAACCTCTTTTTATTTAAAAAAGTATTAATACTCTAAGAAGCTTACTTATATTATTCCTTTTCACTAAAACCTCTAAATTCTTATAAGAAGTTATTATAAGTTTAAAGTTCTATAATAAAATTATTCTCTATAATATCTACCTTTACTTAATTAAAATATCTAAAACCTTAAATAAGTCTATAAGTAAAAACTATAATTAATAAGCCTATATTAAAACCATTTAGTTTATTAAAAGTTAAGTAAAAATCTTATATAAAATCTTTAGTATTACTATAGTTAACTTTAGTTATTTTGTTTTAGTTATTATAGACTTTACTTATAGCTAGCTTATTAAACTTCTAAGTATATTTTTTAGTTTTAATAAAAGTATAAAAAGCTAAAGCTATAATAGAAAGATTATTATTAATTATTTCTTCTAAGAGATTATATTAGATCTTTTCTATAAATAACTATCTAATAAGTATAAAACCTATAAGTATTAGATTACTTAAAGAACTTAAATCTTTAACTATTACTACCTTATTTTCTTTAAAAACTATATCTCTATTATATTTATTTAATATCCTTTTAGCTATTAAATAAAAAAGTAATCTTATTACTTTAAAGGCGTTCTTAAGATTAATCTCTTATAGTTTAAAGCTTATAGCTTTAGTTAGCTTAAGGATAGTATTATATATTAGACTTCTTAGATCTAATCTTTTATTAGCTACTTTTTATATAGCTACTTTAGCTATAAAGTCTATAGTAGAAGAAGGAGGAGAGCTAGTTTAGGATAATCTCTTTCTAGTAGAGCTAGAAGAAGATAAAATTAAATTACTAATTAAAAATATATTAATTTATTTAATTAATTTAGTAGTTTAAGAGGGGTTTAAGTAGTAGTTATATATAATTATTAGATAGTTATTAAATAGTTATTACTATATAACTATAGTAATTATTAAATAATTATTAATTTTAGTAATTTAAAAGCTAAGGAGATTTTATAAATAGGAGATATATATTATAATAGCTATAATCTCTACTTAGAAGTATTACTTCTAATAGCTTAGTAATCTATTAATTACTTTTTAGTAATTACTAAACTATAAAGTTAAAGTCCTAATAGCTACTTAGGAATAACCTTACTATTTAATAGATAGATTTAGGTATTTAGAGGGCTTATAACTTATATGAAGTAGCTTAATTAATCTAGTTATGAGTGCTAGGCGCGACTAGCTATAAAGTAGTGTAGCTGATCCCTTACGTAAAGGTGGGATTTGGGCTGGGTTTTGGGCCTCAGGCCTGGGCCCGGCCGACTACCGTCTCGCACGGGGTATGCTCCACCGTGCTAGACTACTCCGTCAGCGACCACCATGTCCCAATTTTGTTGTCTTTTTCAGCCTCAGATCTTTTTGTTTGATCTTTCACTTTATCTTCATCGCAATTTCTCAACATGGACGAGGACGACGAGCTGCCTACGGTGCAGAAGGCCGCTGTCATTCGACACCCAGGGCCGAACGCCAGTATCGTGGTGCAGCACAACGTGCCCGTCGGGACTCCTGGACCTCATGAGGTTCTTGTGCGCATCAGCGCCACTGGTGTTTGGTATATCTTCTCATGATCATCATGTGTGATTGTCCACGACTGACTGAAACCCTGCATAGCGGATCGGAGACTCGAGCTTTCCGGGGTTGGGGTGTTTACGACCCCATCGTAGGCCATGAGGGCGTTGGGAGAATCGTCAAACTGGGCCCCGGTGTTTCCGAAGAGCTTCTTGGCCAGAAAGTCGGGGTAAAATGGCTTTACAGTGCCTGTGGGACCTGCTCGGTCTGCGTTCGCGGACACCAGAACAACTGCCCGAAGCAGCTCAACACCGGCAAACATCGCCCGGGAACGCTCCAGCAATATGTCGTGGCTGATTCAAGATATGTCACGAAAATCCCCGACGGGCTGCCCGATGCTGAAGTTGCGCCTCTGCTGTGTGCCGGTTTGACCATGATGGGCGCCGTTTCGAAATTGGAAGGCGAACTTTCTCCTGGCGATTGGGTCGTTATCCAAGGGGCAGCGGGCGGTCTGGGGCATCTGGGTGTGCAAATTGCCTCGCGAATGAGAGGTTACCGGGTCATTGCAGTTGACTCAAGTGGTCACGATCAGTTTTGCCGAGACAACGGAGCCGAAGTGTTCATCGACTACACGAGAGAGGAGGTCGACAAAAAGGTCATGGAGTTGACAGGGGAGGGAGCTCACGCCGTTCTCGTGGTGCCTGAGTCGGAAGACGCTTACATCACGGCACCCAAATTGGTCAGGTCCATGGGAACAATTGTGTGTGTCGGGTTGCCTCGTAACGATTTCGATATTCCCATACCGGTCACCTTGTGTGCTCTCAAGGGTAAATCTCCATCACATTCTTACTCGCACTCAGACTGACATGGCTGCTCTTACATAGCTCTCAATGTCAAAGGCGCCATGGTTGGCACGGAGAAGGAAATGGCTGAGCTGTTACGGGAGGCTGCCAAAGGTCGCATTCGAGCATCTGTCGAATACTTCCATATTAATGACACGGAGGAAATTGTAGGGCAGTTGATGAATCAGGAGATGTATGGAAGGGCTGTTATCACTGGCATTTGATAGATGTAAACAAGTCGAAGCACAAGATAGGTAGATTTTATGTTTGCCGAGCTTCTGGTACCGTAAAAAGGTTTAACTTCTTGGAGAAGACAGGCATCGCTTCTGATAAGGTGTTCCGTTATCAATGTGGTTCTAATAGTCTTTTGCCGTTGAACCAAAAAGATGCATCCCAGTTTCTAGCACCTCAATCTCATCGCCGACTTCAACATACAGCCCCGCCCTCTGCTCCTTGGCTTCCTCCAGATCCTGATCCTCCGGTACGCAATGCATACCGATGTATCCCAGCGCGGATGGGTTCCCTGTCTCTACCGTCCGGTATTCTATCAAAGTCGCGCTCGGCTGTGGCTTGCCCTTCTTCTTCCCCTCAACTGGTTTATCTGCTTCAAAGGTCCCCGTCTCAAGATTAACATTCGGCATCGTACACCGTGATGTACGGCAAACAACCGATAACTTTGGCGCAACCTCTGCCCTTTTCTCCTCCGAAACAGCCTTTGGTAAGATTCGATAGCGTTTCCAGGACTCTTCGGCAAAGGCTGGGGCACCCGTGATCCAGATGTTTGCGCGGAAGCGTAGTGCATCCAGGGGCTGATTTTCTGGTGGTAACAGCGCAGAGACGGCGTGTACTGAGGAGAGGGAGTTGAGGTTGACGGGTTGTTGGTCCGTGTAGCCGTGAATTGAAGGTGTTCCGATGGACTTTAGCGGTGCGAGGTTTCTGTCGCAACGGGTCAAGGTATCCGGAGTGCATCGCATCAGTGTCAAGCCGCGCTTCTCCGGGATCTGGAGGTATTTCTTGAGCTTGGGTAGCGCGGCTGCGACGGATGGGATGTCGCCCAGATCCAGTCCGCTAGCCTCACGAGCGTGGATGCCGAACTTTTTAATCCTGATATTCAGCTTTTCCACTTCTGTCGATGTAGGTTGAAGAGGTGCAACCAAGAAGACCTCCGGCACGGCGGAAGGATCCCAGGTATGAAGAAGTGTCTCCAATTTTTGAGTCCAAGATGGAGAATCTGGGTCTCTAAATGACAGCACAACGCAGCCGCCGGCCTGCACGAGAGGGTCGCTGGGATCACTATCCTTGTGAGGAAGCCATATCTCCGTGTTAATGTGGCACATGCTGGGTTTGGTACGTTGGCTGATGAACTTCCATGTTATCGAGCCATTGTCTGGGTCGACGACTTCGGTGGAAATGGCGAAGCATCTGTCGTACAGAAAGCCGGTCTTGGTGAGCAATGCGCGGTTGACCTCGATGAAGCCGCATGACTTCACAGGGTGGATGTAGAGAGACTTGATGCGGATCGGCCCGTTGGTTTCGGTGTCCTCCGGAGCGGCGTATTTGGCGTCGAACTGATCCGTCATGTTGCTTGTTGATACGCCGAGTTTCCGGAGATGGCGGAGCTCTCTCCGTACCCTGTTGATGTTGCCATTTTGAAGAACAACAGTTGCTGTTGAGGCCAATAGGAAGACGAGACCAAGAACCAGCTTCAGAATCGGCAAAGCTCCCAATTGGCCAACTAGGCCACTGAGCAGACTGGCAAGCATCTTTTGGTCGGTCTTCAACTCGAATGTTGATAAAGACCCAATGAGAGATGCTACTCTGCAAGAGACCGCCTCTGTGATTCGCATCCGGTCGGAAGTTGATAGAGTTGCCGATTCTCGGATGTCGTCATATCGCGGAAAGACTCCCGCCAATCATTCGGCATCCCGCAGCACACGTCCCCACCAAAGGTCAATTCAAGGCGCGATTGACGTTGCCGATGCGCGTTGAGCCGAAGCCGAGGCCGGGGGCCAATTTTAAGGCGAAACTTTCCCAATCCGACTCGAAGATGTTGGTCAAAGGAAGGACACACTCAACGATTGGTAGGTAGGATGGATCTCTTTGTTGTAGTTTTGGGCCATTAGCGGGTCTGGCCAATTGTCCCACTCTAGTTCATTTCCAACTTCAGCGGGACATGTCATTGTAGGGCGTGTTACCAAATAAAAACATGAGCGAGCGAAGAGTTTGAGCCGACAGGTTGGGGGCTGACTGAGAGACATTAATTGGAGAGGTGGTGAATTATTTGATGACCCTTTGATTGAAATAAAAGCGATTGACTTTCGGGTTTGATATAATGACCCTTGGGTTCTTGGCTGCTCAGCATTGTGCTGTGTGATGTTTTGTATCTTGACTACATCCCACTTCCAGCTATGGCATCGCGATCTTCAACTTCAAGGCCCACGCCTGACCCAGAGCTTGCAACTCAAAATGGCCATGTTACCCAAGAACGAGAACAGCACGAGAAGTCTGAACAACCACCTAGTGTGACAACCGACGCGGTACTGGCACCTTCAGAGCATGACTATCCAGAAGGAGGACTTCGAGCTTGGTCTGTCGTCCTAGGTTCCTGGTTTGCCTCCTTCTCAGCCCTCGGCATATCCAACACCATCGCAACGCTCCACGCGTACGTCGGCACGCATCAACTCGCCGGCTACAGCGAGGGCACCATCGGATGGATCTTCTCGACGTACATGTTTCTCGTCTTTTTCTGCGGCATCTACGTCGGGCCCCTCTTCGACAAGTACGGACCCAAGTGGCTCATCCTGGCTGGCACCATCGGCGTGGTAACGGCGCAGATGCTGTTGAGTTTCTCGACAAGTCCGTTTTTGGCCCCTAAGTCCATGTATTCAACGCATCCGCTAACCTTGGATACTAGAATACTGGCAATTCATGCTCGTCTTCGGCGTTCTCAACGGCTGCAGCGCGTCTCTCCTCTTCACGCCTTCGTTCGCTGCCATCGGCCACTGGTTCTACCACCGCAGGGGACTGGCAACGGGTATCGCGTCGACAGGCGGTTGCTTCGGCGGGATCGTTTATCCCATCATCCTGCGTTATCTCTTTGAACGTGGAGGATGGGGCTGGGCTATTCGGACCATCGGGTTCATCGTGCTCGTTTGTTGCGGCACGGCGACCCTCCTCATCGACACCCGTCTGCCTCCCGCCCCTAATGCTTCGCCCCATCCAGACCTGCGCATCTTGCGCGAGCCTGCCGTCGCGGTGACGACCATCGGTCTCTTCCTCTTCGAGTGGTCCCTCTTTATCCCCCTCACCTACATCTCAAGCTATGCAATCAGCAAAGGCTTCGACACCGACTTCGCATACCAGATCCCGACGATCCTCAACGCAGGCAGTGTGGTAGGTCGCGTCCTAGCCGGCTGGTGGGGAGATTACGCCGGGCCCTTCAACTCGCATATTGCAGCGCTGTTTCTGAGCTGCGTTGCATGCCTGGCAATCTGGCTACCTGCTGGCTCTTCCATGGCGGGCATCCTGGTCTTCGTGATTCTATTTGGGTTTGCTAGCGGTAACAACATCAGCATCAGCCCCGTCTGCATCGGACGGCTGTGTAAGACGGAGAACTATGGCCGCTACTACGCGACGTCGTACACGGCCGCCTCTTTCTCTTGTTTGTTCGGGGTGCCCATAGCAGGAGAGATTATTGCGGCGCAGGGAGGAAGCTACCAGGCCTTGATCGTATTCACTGGCGTCATGTATGCCGCTTCAGTTGTGGCCTTTGCAGCGGTGAAGATTATGCGAGTAGGGTGGAAGCCGCTAGCTATCTTTTAGTCTTGGGATCTCCAAGAGAAATCTCCTCATATCATGTTGATTGACCATTATCTCTTCCGTGCTGGTTTCGAGTAGCGCTGGTGAAAGGTATTCGCTGTTCTCCAATGCATGGTCCATTTGAGCCATATTCCTTACCGATTGACGGCGTCTCCTCGCTCAGTATCCTCCAATTGCTCAACAACCTTGGCGTCAGCTTTTCCTCCCTCCAGCACAGCAAGATCATGGCTGAGACCGTCCGTCTGGAACTTGTGGAACTGCCAAGCAGGGATATTGGCTTCGAAAAGCTGGTCAATTTCTTCCAGATTCCGGCCCTGTTACATGGTCAGCTGTTAACCTCATGAGATCCAAGTCTGCCCGGACACTGAACTAACCTTAAGCTCAGGCATACAGAACCATGCCCAAATCGACGTCAAGAAGGCGAAGCCACCCCAGATGTAGCCTAACCCGGCACCAATCTCGGCGAGCAGGTACGGAGTCACGAAGACCACGATGAACCCGACGACAACATTGAGCGCTGTCTAAGGATCAAGTCAATTTCCATCTCCCTAGAAGTCACGAGTAGTCAATTAAAATGGAGAACTTACCGACAAAGCCATCGTCTTCTCTCGCAGAGTTTGCGTCCCCACCTCCGCGGCGGTGATGTACGCACCCGGACCCAGTGTCATGTGGAGGATACACGTATACAGCTGCATGCCCGCGACGATGCCGTTGCTCTCGTGGACATTGGGGCTGGCCTTGCGACCGAGCGCGCCGATGGCGATCAGGAACGCGCCCTGGGACCAGCCGCCGTGGAAGACGAGGGTGCGGCGGCCGAACATGTCGAGGAAGACCATGGCCATCATGGCTGTGACTACGGAGGTTGCGTTGTTGACGACCTATGATTGAAGATTAGTGATAAGACGGACTTGACGTGGGTGAGGAGGGCTTACGGCATAGACGAAGGCCTTGTCTGCTAAGCCAACAGATCTGTAAAACGTCGGGCCGTAGGAGCTCGAGAACGTCACTCCAGTTAGCTGCTGAAGAGCCATGATGGAGCACGCGATCCTGTTTCCCTCAGCGATTAGGCCGGATCTTCCAGAGTAGAGGACACGGATCATGCAACTCACCCAGTCCTCCTCCTGTTCTTCTCACTAAACAGATCCCTCCAAGGCCCCTTCTCCCGCTTGCCGATCCGGCCCTCGTCCCGCATGGCCGCAATCTCCATCTCAGGCCTGCCGTTATCCACATCCTCCTGCCTCCTGACCTTCCTCAGAACGGCGATGGCCTCGTCCGATCGATCGTTGAAGACGAGCCAACGGGGCGAGTTGGGCGTGAACCAGAGCCCGCACATGATGAGCACGGCAGGAAGAGCCTGGATCGCCGTCGCGATCTGCCAGCCTGAGCTGTCTGTCCGGCGGGACATGGACTCGTTGACGATGCCGGCGATGAGAGAGCCGAAGGTGAGGCAGAGCTGGATTGAGCCGACGAAGAAGCCGCGCAGAGGGGCGGGGGCGATTTCAGATTGGTATGTTGGAACGACCTGACATCAATGTTCGTTAGTATCGAGAATACACCAAGGCATTCCGTGAGGTTCAGCTCACATTCTCGACCAGGCCAACGGCTGTGTACACCAGAAACCGGCCCGTGACGAACTGCGCGGCGTGGTTACTCGTAACCTGGACTTCACCCCCTCTTCAGCGTCTCTCTCTCACTACTCTCAAGCGTATGTACTCACTGATGGCTCCCACAATCTGCACCAAACATGTCACTCCCATCGCTCTCCGGTGTCCGATCCTCTCAATAATAGGCCCCACGACCACCGTCCCCGTGAACTTCCCTAGCAGCGGCAGACTATTCATCAAGCTCGCGGTCCGGCTGGGGAGATAGTACGCCTTCTTGGTCGCGCTGTAAGAGCCGAACTTATTCATGAAGGGCGTCATGGCCTGAACACCGCCGAAGGAGGCACCGTCGCTGGTTGTGTGACACGCATCAGACATTGATATCTGAGGAACACGAGCATCGAGAGAGACTCACTAGCCGAAGAAGACGCTTCCCATGGCGTAGATGAGGCAGTAGAGCATCAGCCGTGGCGTGGCGTTGGCGAAGGCCGCCTTGCCTGCGAAGATGCCGCGACCCATCTTTGGCGATCGAGTCAACGCGGGTTGGACGATTCTTAGGGCCCAGGATTGGAGATTGAAACTTTTTCAAATTTCACTGTGATTTTTGGGAGGCAACGTCTTTTGAGCCATCAAAACAACCGGCTACCAACCCACGCAGCCGAGCTCTCAAGAACGGGCCGATGACCGGAACCCCAACAACAGCCCTTTTTCCGCCCTTCATCTACCCCCGCAGTAGAGAACTTGGGGTTTGGGGGTGGGTTCTGTGGGGGAGCGAGAGCATGGAAGCGAGGATTATCTGACCGACATTCCTGCCCACTTCCCAAACCCGGGGGTTTTAGACGGGGGTAATGGCATGTCGGGGGTTGTCCGACTCCAGGAATACTACCGCGGACCTGGACATTTGCGCGGTCAACTTCTGTGTATGACATGCCTCCGGAGCCAGGTAAGGGGCCGGTAGCTTGTGGGGGATCGACCTCGGCTCTGTTCAGCCAAAATCATCATCCAGAGCCGCCGTGTATCATCAGCTTTGCTTTTGATCAGCACGCGGCTATGGCTTCATGTACATTAGAGGTTTCGCATCTCAATCCCCCGAAAGACCGATAGAAAGTGTAAATCCCACTACGCAGCAGAATCTGAATTGCCATATTCATTCAAGAACGGCAACATCATGGATCGCAACACTGTCTACGGTGGAGCGCGAGTTAGTCAAGACCCATAATGAAATCCTTCGTCGGAGTCTCCCCGCTTCCGCTGTTTCACCCAGCAGCCGTTGAACGTGTCGCTTGACGGCGCTTCTGTTTGCCTTAATAGGCGCTTCCCTATTTGATTGATATTTTATCAACCCAGGTATTTGGTTACCTAGCCTCACATCCTAATTACTTGTGAAGCCTGTCACTTATGGTGAACCTCAAGCGTAACCTCAAAATCCGGTGCTGTCCCGGTTCTCCGTGTTCAAAATCCGGGATGCGGGGTCGGGCCCGCTTGTGCCCCTCCTCCGGCGGATGCTCAAGAACACTCGTGGGCCAAGCGAGGGATCGGGGTTTTGTGGAAATGGTAATTGGAAGCAGGCAAGAGGCAGGATTCGTAGAAATCATGGCCGGCATGTTGTTATAGGATTGGCTGCATTGTTGATGTGAGTCAAACGTTGGTGGATAAACATTCATCATCGCAGCGTATGACGCCAGTCCTCCCGCTGCGTCAGATGCGAGGGGAACAGGGAACTCTAATAGGGAATCGCACGCGCCCGACCTCGGCCACCTCTCCGCGGCGATGCCATCGCTTCTGAGTCAACCTTGAGGTACATTTTTACCAGTAGATTATATACGCAATTTGCGACGAATTAAGTGCCAGCAAAAGCCGACAGTGCAATTGCTGTCGAGCGTCCTCGTTGCTCTCATCACTCGATGATTGCCTCATTTCTGAACCTCTTTCGTGCGCCACGCCCAACCATGTCGCAGCCTGAGACATACGACACTGTTGTCTACGGCTCGACGTCCGGTGCCGTCGCGACGGCTATCCAAGCCTCACGGCTCGGGAGGTCAGTCGCGTTGGTCTCACCGCAGGAACACATCGGTACCGACAACCTTCTTCACACGAGACTTCACGCATTGTACTGACGACGTCGCCAGGCGGCATCCAGGTCAACGGCCTCGGAGCCACAGACATCGACAACCAGGCCGAGTTCCAGAATAGCACTACGCTGGGCGGGCTGAATCTCGAGCTTCACCAGAGGATCAGTCGTCACTATGGCCGCCTGGACAGGCTGAACGAGGTCGTCGAGAAGAAGCTCAAGGACCCTGATGTCTGGAGGTTCGAGGCCAGGGTTGCGGAGCGGGTGATCAAGGACTGGCTGGCTGAGAACCCGTCGATTACCATAGTCAAGGTGAGCTGTTGGCGAAGCGCTTCCGTCAAGAGTGCTTGCTGATAGGCACCAGGCGAGGCTCGTCGAGAAAGATGCGGTTGAGAAGGATGGAACGACCATTCGGGCGATCCGTCTCGAGAATGGCCAGACGATAACTGGAAAGGTAGGGTCACCCTCAGATGCTGAATGTCGCCCTTCTCACAGACGCAGATCTTCGTCGAGGCAAGCTATGAGGGCGACCTTCTCGCCGCCGCCTCGATATCCTGGACCCACGGCCGCGAGTCCTCGGCGACGTACGAAGAATCCCTGGCCGGCGTCCGCGCGGAGACGCTCTACCGCCAAATCGACGTCGACATCGACCCGTACATCGCACCCGGTGACCCCTCCAGCGGCCTGCTCTTTGGCATCTCCCCGGAAGCCTTTGGCAACCCCGGCGACGGAGACTTGCATCTTCAATCGTACTCGTACCGCATGCCGCTGACCGACGACCCAGAAAACCGCGTGCCCTTCACCGAGCCGGAGGGGTATGATCCTGCATGGTATGAATTGCACAGACGGTTCCTGAAGGCTGGAGGGGAGATGTATGTGCCAAAGAAGAGGTTGCCAGGAGAAAAGACGGACTTGATCGGAAGCGAGGGGGCATTATCGACGGACTTGCTTGGTATGAACGACGAGTGGCCTGTGGCAGGGTATGAAGGGCGAAAGAGGATACTGAAGGACACAGCGGACTTCACGAAGGGATTCTTTTGGTTCTTGGCGACGGACGAGTCAGTCCCGGTAGGTTTGGCTGTCCTCCTGAAGTAACGGTGCTAACGGCAGCAGGAACCGATTCGCAAAGAGTGGTCGCGCTTTGGATACTGCCGCGATGAGTTCCATGACAATGGGCACTTCCCACACGAGCTCTATGTGCGAGACGCCAGGCGAATGATATCAGACTACATCGTCACGGAAGCGACGGCTTCTCAGAACGGCGCGCCGGAGGTTCCAGACCCGGTCGCCGTAGCGTACTGGCCGACAGATACGCATAGCGTGCGGCGCATACTCCGGGACGGGCGGGTCCACAACGAAGGCTTCATCTTCAAGGACGGACACCGTTGGCGGCCCTTCGGTATCGCTTACCGTGCGATGGTGCCGCGGAGGGAGGAGGCGGGCAATTTCGTCAGTGTTACTTGTCCCAGCTCGTCGCACGTCGGATATGGTGAGTGTTGCATCCTTGGTGATTTGTGAATTCGTGGTGAAACTTGGCTGACGGGTGGTTAGGGGCTGTGAGGCTGGAACATCAGTTTTACGCGCTTGGCCAGGCTTGTGCCAACGCGTGTGACATCGCTTTGGAGCAGGACGCCTCGGTGCAGGATGTGCCGTATGGGCCCCTGAGAGAGAGGTTATTGAAGCAGGGAGTTGTTTTGGATGCCTCTACTGTTGGCGTCCCGTCGTTTGGTGACGAATGAGGCAGTCTTAGAAATTGACATTGAGGCATTGCCAAACCAGCTGGAATAATGCCGTCAATGAGGCTTGTTCAGGGCTCAGAAGTATTTGATCTAGTTAGTCTGGAGCCTGATTTGTATCATGATACAATTCGACCGTTACGCTACACCAGCCGATGGCTGGTGGCTGATTCAACCGTGTCTTCAGTGGCGGGGTACGCTTTATTGCGGACTTTTCGCTTTCGCACACGAGTATCGACAGATATGACAGCTCCGTAGGGCTGGACACCGATGGATTCTAGGAAGAATGCTGCAACGGATACAAAGCCTGAAAGGAATCATCCGACTTGGCCTATGGATTACCTTGGCGCTTACTGCTTGGGCGCATGGCATTCCTTTTGGCCCAGGCAGCCGAGGCGGGTTGGCGGGAAGGATGCGGTAGCATGACCAATCAATTGCAGAGAGATTGAAGACGCTTTGGCACGAATAGACGCAGCGGGCAGTTGGGGATGGCCAAATCTATCTCTGGCAGGTTGGCAGGGATATCAAGGCAGATCTTGAACTCTGCGTCGGCAACTGCGTTTCCTCAGATAGAGTTGCCTGCTATCCGCAGGAACAGGATTCCATGACTTGTTTTCCGATGACGTGAAGCATGTGGCAGCGTTACTGAGCGGCAAGCAGCCAACCATTGGAACAGATACTGGAGTCGAGTGGTGTTCCATTGACCGCGATTATGTCAGGATGCGAGAGCAAAGTCAAGGCAAGGACAGCGGTGAGCCCAATGCTGAGAGGTGACAACCTCGTAGCTCGTCCCCGCGACGCGACTCAAACCTTGCATGAGGAGCAGCGTGGCCATGATTCGAAAACCGCCTCCTTGACTGACTAAAATCTCAGCTGGCTGCAACAATGCGGCTCCGTTAACATTTGCGTCGGAGCTGAGCTTGCAGGTATCCATCCGGGCACATGTGTAGTTCAGGGCTGAGAACAGAAGTCTCGCAGATTGCGCCCGAAGCAGGTGAGCGCGGAAGCTAAGCGTTGGAACAGGGCGGATTTTGGGTTAAATGGCAGGCAGCAGGCTGACGGCTCAGTCATTAATCCACTCAGCAGGTATCCACACGGGAAAAGATGCATAATTTCGTCAGCTGCGGACCCCGAAAACTCCAGAAGGCTGGAAAGATTCCCTGTTTGGACGTCACGGTGCCAGATCAGCGAGACGGGGCGGTAACGGTGGCTCGAGCTGGGAAATTCGGCAACTATGTCCCCACTGCTGGACCCAGATCTGCAATCTTGCGCATCCACAGGGGATTCCAATGGCTGCTGTTTGTCACTGGGAGCCGGTTATCACGCGGTTCGTGGTAGTGAACACGCTCGACGGCCGAAATCAAGTGGAATGGGAGCCTGCGAAAGTTCCAATCCGCGAGCCGATGCCAAGGGTCCGGGACGTTGTCGGGGATGGCAAAGATCAATAGCGTAGGCAGACCCGGAGAGATTTTCCTTCTTTTTCAGCGTCATCGATTCTTTTGGTCGTTGGGGGCTGGGCGGCAGCGCTAGTCAGAGACATGCCTGGTCTTGGGACGAACGAAGCCTCCCCGACTCGCGGCGGCAACTCCAATGGAATCCGGTCTGACAATGACAGAATGGTTGCTTTCTAGCCGCACACAATCCGGGAATGCCGTCGGACGATGGTTCGCCATGGCAGCTAGAGCAGAGCGGTCGACAGATTCATACGTCAAGACTTCCAACCGGCCGAGGCGGAAAGTCGGAGACTAAGGCCAAGTGCCCAGTTGCCATGGCTGCCGTTGCGTCCCGTTCGAGACAGGATGCCAAGACCCCTCCAAATTCTCACCAGCATGGGCCCAGCGGCGAGAGATGAGTTGATGGGCGCGAACGGGCTCCTTCCTGGCCCTCGTTAGAACGGGCAGCAAACATGGTCGCCACAAAAGGGCAGCGAGACAGCGAAGCCTCTTGGCCGTTGCGAAAGGCCACCACGTCTGGTCAGGTCTGAGATGGAGGGCGATAGTCGTCGTAATGCACTTGCCGTGTGGTCCAGTCAGGATGCGGCTGGGCGAGAGGAGGTGGACTGTTTGGCGACCACAGGTGCATTCAATCCCGCCGACAGCCAATGGTGTTTGGTGACTCTGGCTCTGACCGACTCGACCGTCTGATGAGAACGGGAGTGACAACAGCTCAGCGATTCAAGGTTGTGCAGTGCATCACCCCAGGCTGAGAGGGGGCCCCGGGTGCCAGCACCAACTGTGCCGAATGGCCGCTGCCTATGACTTGGGAGGCTGTGCACGGCCGTCGCTTCCGACGCCACGTTTGGCCTCTGTGTTGGCGATGGTAGTTCCTCATCTCGGGCGCCGCTTCGATCCTTCTCGTCCGTCGGTCGTTTTGGCCGCTGGTTGATTGAAGGATTCCATTTGTGAAATAGCCTGTACTGTGCTATGAAAGAAAAGCGGCAGTGGCGCGAAGGGTAGACTCGGCGTTGGTTGATGGAGGAATTCGAGTCAAAGAAACGGGTAGCTTCGCGGAAAGCTTGACGGGAAGAAGATGCTGACAAAAGACATTCCTTTGGGCAGAGCGGAAAATAGCTTGCGTGTGTCTCAGTCGGGAGGCGCAATTCCCCAGCCTCCAATCACGGGCTGGCTGCTCAACCAAGGCCGTCAGCTCCCGTCTGCTGCGCTGCGACGACACAAACGAGTGTCAGCATTGGGCTTGGTGATGTTGATCGACTGGAGCTGAGGGCCCAGAGGCAGAGAAAAGGCCCGGGAGTGGCTGCAGGCCACGCACCGCGTTGCTGGCAGGAGAAGCAGGTCCCCGCAGTTCCCAGGGACGGGCCAATCGAATTGCACCCGCGCCAGGTGGCTGCTGTGTTTGCATGGTCCATGCTTGCTGAGACAGAGGGAAAGTTCGATGAGCTCAGCCTCAGGGAGGTTCCTTCCCTCCAATGCGCGGGACCTTCGTGCCTTCCTTCTCCTGCTTGCCTGCTGAGCACAGCATGCACAGCGAGCGCAGCCACGCTAGAGATGCTGATACTGATGCTGATGCTGAAGTGATTCGGTGAATGCCCGCCTCCCCACTGCCTGCCTGCTTGCTCTGCCCACCCTGCCCCGGTACGTTAGCGAAGGAAGGAGGAGGGAAGGAAGGTACCTGCCTGCGGGCTGCCTTCCTGAGGTGCCATTACACTACGGATACCCAGATTTCCATGGATTCCCCATATGCTAAATCAGCGAGTGAGGTCACTCGTCTTTTCCCCTTTGGTGCTGCAGGTGAGCATTTGGAGCTGCAGGGCGCCTAGACATTTGCTCCACGCATTTTTCTTGGCCTGGTCACTCTCGACCACCAAATCCACCTCGCCGTTCGCTTCGGATTGACGCTACGAGCCTGGGCGTCCACTTCGCCAAGGCAACACTCAGGCCGGCTGCTTAAAAGCATTACTATCCCACTCTTTTTCCTTGGACACCCCCAGTCGCTTGCCTCCTCCGTCCCCCGATCTCAATTTTGGGATCCCCTATCGAGCTTCGCTTTTGATTTCTAGATTTTGCATCTATTTCTCAAGAGCAGTATAGCATCGCGTCCCTGATCTCTGTGGTTACACATCTCCAGCGCGCATCTTCGAACCGGCCCGATCTCGAGAACCTCCCACACCCGCATCACTATGGTTGCCCGTTACGCCTCGATCGCCGCTGCCCTCGCGGCAGGCGCAACCGCCCTCTCGGTTCCCCGCGACGAGTCCAGCTCCGGTTCGACTCCCGGCGTCCTCTCGTTGCCCGTGTACCAGGATATCAGACTGCACCCGCTCGAGAAGCTTCGGAGGAGAGCCGTTTCGGACACGGATGTTCCAGTTATTAACGTTACCTCGACGACGTACTTGATTGAGCGTAGGTGGAACCGGACCATCGTCCGAATTGTCGCATCCAACTAACATGCGCAACAGTGGACATTGGAACTCCCGGACAGGATACCAAGGTCGCCCTCGACACTGGCTCCTCGGAGCTGTGGGTGAACCCCAACTGCCAGAAGGCCGGCAGCACCCAGCAGGCTCAGTCGTGCCGCGCCAACGGTCAATACGACCCCGACAACTCCAGAACCTCGGTTGTCTATCAGAACACCGGCCGCATCAAGTACGGCAAGGGAGAAGTCGCGCTGCAATATGTCGCCGACAACATCACTCTGCCTGGCAGTGGTATGTCTCAAAATACTCATGGGCCTTACCAATGACTAACAAATCGTAGACATCGACCTCTCTCAGGTCATCTTCGGCTATGCTACCGACAGTGTCGACCTTAACAGGGGTATTCTCGGTCTCAGCTTCGGAGAGAACAAGAACAACACCGGCTACCCTACCGTTGTGGAGGAGATGAAGGCTCAGAACGTTATCGAGTCTTTGACTATGGGTATTGCGCTCGGAACCAAGGATGAGCCCACCGGCAGCGGTCTCATCTCCTTCGGCGGTGTCGACACCAAGAAGTTCAGCGGCAACTTGCACTCCGCCCCCATCCTGGGCCCCCAGAACGGCGAGAGCTTGTGGAGATACTGGGTCCAGCTCGACAGTATTGCGCTGAGCAAGTCTGGCAGCAGCAAGACGACCTACTCCAACTCGCAGTTCCCCGTCTTCTTCGACACCGGTGCTACGCTCAGCTACTTCCCCTCAGCTGTCGTCGACTCCCTTGGTTCGGATCTCGGTGGTCGCCTCGACTCCTCTGTCAATATGTATGTCGTTCCGTGTAGCACCTCGGGTACGATCGACTTCACCTTCGGCGGCTTCACCCTCCAGGTGCCTATTTCCGAGTTCATCTGGGAGGTTTCTGACAACGCCTGTGTCCTCGGAGCCGACAAGGCCAGCGATGGCTCTTACCTCCTGGGTGACTCATTCCTGCGCTCAGCATACGTCGTCTTCGACCAGGAGACGCCTGCCCTGCACTTTGCTCCCTACGTCAACTGCGGCACCAACCTGCAGAAGATTCCCCTTGGCGCCAACGCCGCGGCCAAGTTCAGTGGAGAGTGCTCGGCTAGCAACAGCA